TCAAGGTCTATTTTCTGTAAGTCTAATTTCTCGCAGAAGTCACGGAGATCTTCTGGGAATTACTGCCTTGCTGATTTTCCGTCTTTCCATCCGATTAAGCATGCTGGAAAGCCCCAATTATATCAAACTTTTTTCTCTCTCATGTGCTCCAACAACCGTTTCAAAGTTCTTCTTCTAGCTAGTGTCTCTGGAGCAATGTCTGCAAAAAATATGCAAGTTTGTTTCTTCATATTTTATTTTGGTAGAGTCACGTAAACCTTTCCATATTCTCTCTCTGTCTTCGAAATGATGAAATTGAACTATCAAATCTCTGGGGCTTTCCGCCAGTATTCCTTTTGGCCGTCTAATCCTATGTACTCTTACAATTTTTAACTTTTCTGTTGCTGATCTTCCCATTATTGGATTACAAACTCTATTTTCTCCCATACGTCCTCTTCCTGTTCCTTTTCTTCTGGTAGACCCCAGATCCTTAAGTTTTTTTTTCTATTGCGATTCTCCTGGTCTTCCACTGTAAATGAGAACTTTCTTTACGCATCACTTCAAGTTGTGCCAAGCACAGTAAGGCCACATAGGGGAATATAATATTGTTACAGACCTCCTCCAGCAAAATTACTTATGATTGATCACAGTCATCCGCCAGAGGGCGTGTTCCTTACTGACTGGTTTTCTTGGAATATTTAACAGTCTATTGATCCTCATTTAGGACTTAGAAGGAAAGACCCTTTTTTCCTTTCTTCTGATGGCTTTTACCACCTCTGTTGTGTTACTTTCAAAGTAGTAATAATCTAGCCAGTTCCTCCAACCACTAAACCCTCCAGCTCATGTAATCCTCATATAGTTCAACGTCCCCCCCAGTGCACAGTTGAATTTTAGATTGCAACAATTATATCAGGAACAACAAATTAAATGTCCTGCCGTTACCTATGGCAACTCACCACTACCTTCCATGCCGACTGTATAGTATCGTTCAATCCTGCTCCACTTTCAGTCCTGACCGATGTCTCCAAGTCAGGTTCCAGGAGGGTCCAGAGGGATCAATGGGGGAAACTATATGTGCCAAAATGGCCTGAGGTGTTTCAGGGTCTCAGGGTCTCCCAAGGCTGCTGTCTCACTGCTCTCCTATTCCTTTAGGACAATTTGTCACATTCATAATTGCCATCATAGTCCCCTGGGCTGTCACATGGGTGGTCACATGGTCGCATGGTCGGTCACATGGATGCTCTCACCATCCCCTTCTCTTCCGGCACCGTTACCTCCAGCTCCCAGTCCATCGGTGTCCGGGAAGTCCAGCGCTCCTCTCCGACCACCACCACCACCACCTCATTGGCCACCACCAGGACCACCCACACTCGGGGCCCCCTTGGGATCTGGCATCGCACCAGCCCAAGGCTCAGGTAAGGCAGTTACTGTCACGCGTGGCGGGCATCTGGAGTTCCTATTCCTCACGGCGCCATGTTCAGGCCCCTCCCCCGGTTGTGCCAATTTCCATGTACTGTACCTGTCTAACCATTGCCTGTAAACGACCCACCAGGAAGCACTTCTCAGTTGATGCATTTAATGCTAGCATGAAATGTATCAGGATGGTGGAAGTTTGGAGGAAGAATGTTTGCCTTAATTAAAAAAAAAACACACCTTTTTTGTTACCTGTGTACAAGTAAAATTCTGCCCCTTCCTGACATGCTAGATAAGCTGTGATGGTGTGCAAACAGGATGGGATACATCAAACAAATCACCACTGGCCACCATGTAAAGGAGCACTATTATCAAGGAAGGGCAGAAGGTACTACAAGCTAATAATTTTATGGAAGTTCATCAGATTTCAAGGTACCACTGACCACCAGTTACAAGTGAGTGGAGGGATCCAAGGTACCACTGACCAACACTTAAAGCACAAGACTTTGTACCATGCCCCTCTCCCAATAATATTTTCTCAACGCGCATGCAGGATAGGCAACCCAGGCTGAAACAAACCAATTTCTATATTAAAGTGGTTGTAAACCTCACATGAAATATGAATGAAGTATAGTGTTCTATAGTGTGTACTTGTCTCAACTAAGAGCACTAAGTGTCATTTCTATCTGTTGCCTCGTTCCTCTGCTATCTGTATGAGTCACTCTGGACAAGTTTTTCTGACACCAAGAGAAAAATGGTGATGGGGAGGGAGCTCCAGCTGATTGACAGCCTCAGCCTCTGTTCATGTGAGCTGTGAGGAGGTAGTGTGTCTCATCCCTCCAGTCAGCTCTCAGAGCTCTTCTCACTGAGCTCTGGAGAGTGTAAATTCAGCTCCCTATCCACTTTTTTCTGAACTCTCAGACAAGCTGTATACATTCTGCACTTTGAAGGGATGTAGAGAAGACTACAAATAAACAAGTACAACTTATGTAGGAGGATTTGTTTCATCTCTGTGTATCACCTAAGGCCAGCCACTTCACTGGGTATATGTAAGGGTTTACAACCACTTTAAATCAGGAAAAAAAATTATCAGGCAAAAATGTTTTTGCCAGTGTTTTGTTTTTTTTCAACCTTAGTCTTCATCTAGGAATTAATTAGTCATGGCAAGATTCTTTACATAATAGATATCTATAGTTGAATTTTTCTAAGCTTACTTAAGAGTCACTGTTTCTTCTTATACACAGTTATACTTCTGCCCTTTTATACAGGTAAACTCCTCCAAAGGTTTCTTTACTTTGACAAAGTGGAGAGTTTGAGTGAGTAAATGACCTTCAGAGCTATGCCAGCGATGGTATGGCTGGTAAGTCCACCCTGGATTACCTACCCACCTGAACCTCAATTTGTTTCTTAGCCCCATGCCTACCTAACATCCATCCTGGAGGTTGGAGATTGGGAAGCATGAGCTAAAAAAAAATGCAGACAGGTAATGCAGTTTAAAAAATAAATTTAGTGCCAGGAAGATTTTATTTCCTCTTCCTGGAGTATTCTGTATAAGACAGCCCCTCATACATAGATATTTTTGTTTTTTCAACCAGAGAGTTGAATGGAAAAAGAATCATCTGATTTCCCCATCCACGCACTTGATGTGGATGGGGGAATCTGTCCTGCTGTAGTATTGTATTCTGACAGCGGGTAGCCTTCTGATTAAGCATCGTGCGAAACTAGTTAACAGATTCTGTATTCATGTCCTAGTGTTTTGTGTGTCCTATGGATCAATAAATATACACTATATTCATCAATCCTCCTGTGTGCGGCTGACCCTTCTTCCTGTTGCATCGTGTGTAGTGGTGAGCCAGAGCCTACAACTATTGTGGATCAATCTGGATTGTTTGCTTGAGCAGTATACCTTAGCCTTCCCCGTTGTCAAAATACAATGATCAATGTTGCCGTCAAAAGCTGGCAGAACTGATCATTCTAGAAAAAACCTGACAGGCTGGTTGCATACAAGTTGATTGAAAGATGTGTACACCAGCCTGCCCATACATGGTTTGAAATTTCAACGGTCTCTGCTGAACCTGACAAATTTCTATCCATGTATGGCCAGCTTAACCTGGACTGCGGCTGATAACTGCTATGGAATATCTTCCTTTGCTGCTGCTGTATTATCCTTCTGCAGTGTGGAGATGGTTAAACTGAACATTCATTAATGAAGAAGTCCAGCAGCCATCTTTCAGGAGACAATTTTGCAATGCATGTCTTGTTTTCATGGAACATCTCCATTGCAAGGGGCAACCATCTTGGCTGGGTCTGATTTGATCCTGGAGGTGGTTGGCTTATGCAACAGAGCAAGGAAAAGTGTGGTCTGCAGGCTGCTGTGAGAAAAGGAGAAGACTGTCTTGAAGCAAGCAGGTATGTAAGGCTGCTGCTGGCTGAACAGAACCTTGCCATAGTCAACCATAACTGACAGAAGCAAAAACCTTACTCACCTTGCCTCAGAGATTGAGAACATCCTTCCTGTTGAGATCAGCCTGTACTGGAGAGCACTCCTACCACTTGTATGGAAGGAAAAGAGGAAGGAGAGAAATCACAGCAACTTATATCCCTGCTTGATTTGAATTTGACTTTTACTGAATCAGAACACATGTCCAAGAACTCAGAAGAGGGTGCCCTGTGTCTCGTAAGAGACTAAGAGTGCACAAATTAATCTGTTGTCTGCTGGAAACAGTTGTTCTTTCTTCAAGGGCCCCAACTTTGCCAGCCAACATTTTTTTTTCATCATTTACTGGCCAGTGTGATAAAATGGGGACTGTTATATCAAGTTAGGACTGTATATATTGTTGCTAGTTAAATACAGTTCAGTTCTGTTAATTACTGTTATTCAGAATACTTCAGGTATTTAACCACATCTCTCAGAGTAACTTTTTTTGTCTTATTGATTGTTTGTATAAGTACACTTGCTAATCCTCTTTTCTTGTAGCTTATGCTTGCATCTTAATAAAGTAAGGTGTGCAGACAAATCACAAAAATATTCAGCGGCTCTACTGTGGGGGTTGCACTACACCTACATTGTCCAATGACTCAAGAGGTTTACAGACGGTAGCATCAGAAGGCTATCAGAAGGGCCACCCAAGCTGCTATTCTGACACAAAAAGCATAAGGTAAAGTACCGTATTTTTCGCACCATAAGACGCACTTTTTTCCCCCCCAAAAAGGGGGGAATGTCAGTGCGTCTTATGGAGCGAATATAAAGCGGCCGGTCCGGTATTTTTGCGGCCACCATGTCAGAATACCATGTCAGCTGTTGTCTCCTGCAGGGCCTTACCTGTTCCTCGCTCCAGCGCTGCACAGTCTTCCCGCGCTGGCTTCTGTGACAGCCGGGTGCCCACTGCGCATGTGCTGCGCTTTGTGAATGATCCGGTGTCTTCTGGGACACATGAAAGGTCCCAGAAGGCGCCGGCCCATTCACAAAGCGAAGCGCTTCTCGCACCTGCGCAGTGGGCACCCGTCTGTCACAGAAGCCGGCCCGGAAAGAAGAGGAAAGGCAACTCGCGGAAGTGGGAGCGGGTACCTATCAAATTCAGGTAACCGCTCCCCCTCCCTTCCCAAAGGTCAGCAGTCTCTGGTCATCCCCTTTAGTGTCTGCAGTCTCTGGTCATTCCCTGCACTGTCTGCAGTCTCTGGTCATTCCCTGCACTGTGTCCGCAGTCTCTGGTCATTCCCTGCTCACTGTCTGCAGTCTCTGGTCATTCCCTGCACTGTGTCTCTGGTCAGTCTCACTGGTCATCTACTGTCATTACTGCACTGTTCGCAGTCTCTGGTCATTCCCTGTACTGTGTCCGCAGTCTCTGGTCATTCCCTGCACTGTCCGCAGTCTCTGGTCATTCCCTGCACTGTCCGCAGTCTCTGGTCATTCCCTGCACTGTCTGCAGTCTCTGGTCATTCCCTGTACTGTCCGCAGTCTCTGGTCATTCCCTGTACTGTGTCCGCAGTCTCTGGTCATCTCCTGCACTGTGTCCGCAGTCTCTGGTCATCTCCTGCACTGTGTCCGCAGTCTCTGGTCATTCTCCTGTACTGTGTCCGCAGTCTCTGGTCATCTCCTGCACTGTGTCCGCAGTCTCTGGTCATCTCCCTGTACTATGTCCGCAGTCTCTGGTCATCTCCTGCACTGTGTCCGCAGTCTCTGGTCATCTCCTGTACTGTTTCTGCAGTCTCTGGTCATCTCCTGTACTGTGTCCGCAGTCTCTGGTCATCTCCTGTACTGTGTCCGCAGTCTCTGGTCATCCCCTGTACTGTGTCTGCAGTCCATTGGTTCAGAATATATTTTTTTCTTGTTTTTCACCTCTAAAACCTAGGTGCGTCTTATGGTCAGGTGCGTCTTATGGAGCGAAAAATACGGTAATACTTTCTTACGTTAACCTGTTCTCTGTGTATACTTTAAATGCTGATACTAGCTTTATTTGATTAATGCATCTTAACTGCATGCAAAGCACAAACAATCCACTTATCAAAAGCCTGTCACAGTAACTTCTGTGCACATAAGGGACATTTTACATATCTATAAATGTTATTACAAGCGTTATATTTATACCTCTGTACAAATATTCATGTTCTTGTATATTAATATATAAGGTACTGTAAATCCCAAAAGGAAGCTCACTAGGGGTTTACCTGCCATTTACAAAATGTGTCTGTCACAAGAATGATAGATGAAATATTTCCCTGGGACTAAGCTATAGCACTGTCACTCTTCTTAAATAGTTTGTGTTTGTTCTATATTTTCTGAAGTTATACTCAGTTCACTTCTTTAAATATTATTGCCCAAGGAAACATTGAGTTTTTTTAGCACTTGTCAGTATTGTTCATTTTCGTATTTTATAGACAGCAGCATAAAATTCAGTTTTTAAAGAACTGGAAACGACCTGTAGTGTGCCCAAAAATCCCACGGCAAATTCTTGAGAAGTCTCATATACCATTACATTCTGTGGACCACAAGATCCAAATTTACAATGTCAATATGTTACATAAATAAAAATCATCTTCTTATTATTATTATTATACAGGATTTATATAGCAATGCAGAAAGAGGTGAGCACTGGCAATAGTTTGGAAGCTGCTAGCACGTAAGGTAGGTAACAATCCCCACAAATAAATAAGTAAACAAGTGCAGCACTAAATGACTAATGAATCAAGTGGAGCAATAAAATGCATCACATAAAAGAAATTAAATAACTGTTGGCAAATCAAATTCTAGAAACTGAATGGAACAGTAAAGTGCATCAAAAACTGTATGTATCAAAACAGAACAGTAAAGTGCATCATATAAAAGTGCAAATATCTCAACCAGTCATTTGTAAAAATTGAACAATAAAGTGCATCATAAACTGTATGGATTGAGCAGAACAGAAAAGTGCATCATATAAGAGTGCAGAAACTGTCAGGTGAATCAACTGTATAAATGTATTAAAACTAAATGGCAAAATGCTGCATAAACATGCTAATGATGTAATATATTAATGTCCATGGTGATACGTGGTATAAGGTGTAATTTATGCCAAATATAGCAAAATATACAGATAATAATAGTGTTCTGGTAATGTTCGTAATTACACGTGATCCACATAAATGTCTGTAAAGCAATAAAGTGCAGCAAAATAAGGTGCTAAGTGCAAGTGCGATAATAAATCACACAAGATAATCCACCACCTCTAGCAGATGTACACTCACCAGAATGAAACTGGTAACAGGCATTTCAAGCATAACACATCTTGAGGTAGGGGGCAGCCAAGAGGTTAGGATGGACTGTCTCGTCTTGGGCTTTGGATGAATAGAATGCCTTTGTCCTGGAGGAAATAGCTCACCACATGAGCCAGATGATTGTATATAGTGTAGTATTTATTAGATATAAATGCAATAAAAATCATCTACGTGGAGTCATAAATAAAAGTATGGAAAGAGAAATACCAAGATGGCCGCCGCTCCGTCCTTCGGCAGCGGTGGTCTGATGTCAGCAAGAGACTCCACCTGACGCGTTTCGTGCGCATGCACGTCTTCAGGGTTATGCCCTTTATATATCAAGGATATATATATATCAAGGATGTATACATCATTACACCTCTCATCATTCAGGGTAAGATACTGCTGAGACAACTTACTTCTGAAAGCTCAGACTGGGATACCACCTTACCCAATAAGAAACAACAAAGGTGGAAATCCTGGAAACAGTGTCTAAAAGCATTAGAACAACTCCAGATACCACGCTCTTACACCCAAGCATCCTTAAAGAATGCCACCAGAAGAGAGATTCATGTCTTCTCCTATGCATCCAATAAAGCCATTACTGCGGTGGCTTATCTTCGAGCTACGGTTCCCAGCAGTGTAGTGGGTGTAGGATTTATCATGGGCAAGACCAAACTCACACCAAAACCTGCACATACTATTCCAAGGCTTGAACTTTGTACAACTGTGTTAGCTGTGGAAATTGCTGAGCTTATAGAACTTGAAACAGATGTTGAAATAGATTCCTTTGACTTTTATACAGACAGCAAAATAGTGCTAGGATATATACACAATCGCACAAGACAGTTCTAAGTGTATGTTGGCAACAGAGTGGAACGCATCATAGATTTCAATGGGGAGTGTCATGTTTCACATGACTGTCATATTGACTGTCATATGCCTTTAAGTGTTCTCTGTATTTTGTCTCTGCTCCTCCCTTTCCTTTGGTTTAGTTAATGCTGTATAGATGGCCCACCCCCTTCCCAGTAGTGCATTGCAGCTTCTAGCCTCATGTCATGAAGCAGGTCAAATTATGATCTTTTGACCTATCAGATGTTCATTGTTGTAAAATTCTCTCAGTTTATGGAATAAACTTCACAAGATCTACAAGATATCATCTCAATTGAGTCACTGACTGTGGTATTCAACTGAGATTGGAGTTATCGCTATCTCATCACAACTGGAAATTACAGAGATCACACTTTCAATGCTTAGATTGGAGAGACAGAACAAGGGTTGATGTGGAGGGTGGAGGGGTAAGTCAGGATTATCAGGTGGGAAGATGGGTTACTATAGCTGGAATAACTGGTAGGGACTCACAGAAGAGGAAGGTCAGTCCGGCGTCTGAGCACCCAAAAAAAATTGCCAAGTTGGGTGAAGTTGTGGAGGTGACAGATGTGGTGTCTCCCAGGTGCCGTGGTTTGGCAAGTTGATAAATTAATGGGAGGGGCTGAGCATGACCTAGCTGCAGTGGCGTCCTGAGGCAGGTGTGGGGGGTGCAGTCCACACATGGGGTGACATCGGACTCGCTCCACAAAAAGGTAAGTTGTAAAGCAAGCCAACGATCCCTGTAGGATGGATCCGATCTATCCTGCGGGGATCGTTGGCTTTCTTTACAACTTACCTTTTCTTGGAGCGGGTGCAGTGTCACCCCGTATAGGTTGCATGCCGACGAGGATGCAACCTATACTGGATGACACTGGACCCGCTCCAAAAAAAGGTAAGTTGTAAAGAAAGCCGACGATCCTCGCAGGATGCATCAAATCTGTGAATTGAGCATAATGGATCAGAGTCCAATCCATTATGCTCAATCCGCAGATCCGATCTATTCTGCGTGGATCGTCGTAGGGGTGTCACCATGTGTTACCGCACTGGGTGACACCTACCCTAGGGAGGTAGGTTAATTTTGGAGCTTGTTATAGGCTTCCCAATGTTAATGAGGGGGCTCAGCTACTTGCACAGATAGAAAAGGGCTGGGACAGTGATAATACTGGGGGATTTTAACTACCCTGAAATTGACTGGAGTAATGGCACTGCTGGAACGGTTAAAGGGCAAAAATGTATAAACCTTTTACAAGTCAGATTTATGGTACAGTTGATAGAAGCCCAAACTAGAAATTATATTCTGCTAGACCTGATCATCGTAAACCATGCAGATAAGAAAAATAAATAGTGAATCTCCCTAGTGGGGACACAGAAAGAAACCTGACAGAGGTTCTAATCCTTCCCCACTCTATCAAAACTAAAAAAAAATTGAAAAGGTTGGATCAAACACCAATGACAGCCTTTGCTTTTTTGGTAGCGTGTGATAGGGTTATCAAGTCAGCCCCTTGGCTCCTGTTCTGTCCAACTCTTGTAAATGAAGATAAATTTACCTAATTTAAATTATAGAAATCAACAAAATCCTGACAGAGGTTCTAAATCTTCCCCAATCCACTAGAAAATGTACTTTTATTGTTGTCTCTGTCACTATTGAGAAAAGTTTTCTTCACATCAGAAGCATAACTAGAACCTTCAGGCCCCGGTGCAAGAAACCATGAAGGGACCCCTAACCCCCCCCCCATTGGTCCCAGGGCCCTTTACTCTAGTCCCGCTGTCCTTCCCACTGATCCTGGGCCTTTTACTCCCATCACAGGGCCCTTTATTTTAGTCCCGCAGCGGGTTCCCTTCCTAGTGTCTTGGAGTCCCCCCCCCCACCCACGGTGGCAGAAAGCAAGCAATATATCACCAGCACACCAGGGAATTCCGTATAAGGGTCCAACGTAGTGGCAGAACTACCAAGGTCGCAAAGATCACACTTGTGGCAAGCCCTTCCATTCTGCCTTCATGGGGGTTCCCAGCCTCCTCTTGCTGTCCTGCCCCTGCTATTGACAGCGCTGGCCCAGCGGTTCTGCCTCCACGATAGCTGCGGCAGTGCATTAGGACCCATTGCCAGTTACATTATGGGGCTGATGGGTGCATGCACGGGAGGGCTGGCACTATTGGTCGTAGACACCTGAGCCTCCGCTGGTCACGTAGCAGTGGTAACGCTGCACAGTCTCCTGTTTTGATGTGTCAATCAAAATCAGAATGCATCCGGGGGATGCTCCCAATTGGATCTAACATAGTATTTATTAGAATCAGGAGTACAATCACATATATATCAACCATATATTCACATCCTGGTCAGTCTTACATCCCAAAAAAGACAAGATTTTCCTCCTCAATGCTGACATGGATAACAATAAAAAAAACATTTATATGGTTATAACCCTTCTTTATCCATCTAAAACTAGAAAACGTTTGGGTTGGAGTTCAGCTTTAAATGAAACCTCAGGATGCCTCTTTCTTGCACTTGCATGCACTGTTCTCTACATCTAAATGTGGGTATCCATCATTTCCCTTTTACTAAATACCACTAAGAGTGGAATATATATTATATTAGGACAGCAATATGATAAGAATAAACAAACTGTAGGCATTCAGAACACTTTACACATA